TTTTTTTTTTTTTTTTTTTTTTTTTTTTTTTTTTTTTTTTGAGGCGGAGTTTTGCTCTTGTCGCCTAGGCTGGAGTGCAATGGCACAATCTCGGCACGAACTCTGCCTCTGGGTTCAAGCAATTCTCTTGCCTCAGCCTCCCAAGTAGCTGGGACTACAGGTGCGTGCCACCACGCCTGGCTAATTTTTGTATTTTTAGTAGAGGCGGGGTTTCACTATATTGGCCAGGCTGGTCTCAAACTCCTGACCTTGTGATCTGCCCGCCTCGACCTTCCAAAGTGCTGGGATTACAGGTGTGAGCCACCGTGCCGTCCTAACAATGCTTTCAACAAAAACACTACCATGGGTCTCCCAAAGGGAAATGACCCGAGGCAGCAGAAGCGATGGATTGTCCAGTACTGGGGCCTGTTTTCTACCATCAGGTTGATGGTCTGATAAGTTGTATCCAAGAACACTGACTTACAATCGGCAGACCACCCAGGATTGCCTCAGGTGACACCCTCACGTTTATGTTCCTGTTTGTCCCTGGATTTTCCTATTCGTCTGCTCAGCAGAAAACCAATCAGACGAGATGGGCACTTTCCACAAGGACTCGGGAAACCTGTTCTGATGCCAGCTTTGGCTTACTTGCTGACGTATCCTGGTAACGTCATCCAGTGCTGAGAGAATGGACTTCAGGACCAGATTGGCACGGGGGTCTTGTTCTGTGGCCTCAGTGACGTTGATGTAGATTTGAGGGTTAGTAATGTAGCATGCAGAAATCCCCTCTATCTTGGAGAAAGAAAATTGGCACATACATGTGGAATATAAAAGTTGCATTTCACTTTCAGAGATCCATTTTAAAGTAAGGGAGTATTAAGTCTAAAAGAGTTGAAAGAATATAAATGAACATTGCATATATCTGCCCTGAACCAATTGACATCTCACCAACTTCTACTAAAGAACATGGGAATGATACGAGTGTGGAGTCTGGAAACTGAGTCTAGCTTTCTTAAGAGCTGTGTGTTCTTCAGCAAATTTCTTAACCTCTCTGTGCTTCAGATTTCTCTTCTGTAAAATGAGTATACTATTGGTTGTTATGGGTGAAAATGGGTTCATCTATGCTCAGTGCTCAGAATGATGCCTGGTTCTTAGTAAATGCTATTTCAATGTTAGCTTCTACTTTAAGGAGCTATTTCTTATTGTATCTTCTGTACAATAAAGAGGGTAGGCAGTGTCAGTGGTTCTCTACTATGGGTGAACACTAGAGTCATTTGTGGAGCTTAAAAGCTCTCAGCATTTTGGAAAAATTTTGATGCCCAGACCCCTCTCTACCCACCTTGAAACAGAGCCTCTGGGAGTGGGGCCTGGATACAGGAATTTTAAAAAAAGGTTTCCTGTGGTTTGGGACACAGTGAGGGTGAGAAGCAGAGGCAGAGATGGCCCTGAGATCCCTTCAGCTTGGAAGTGGGCATGCTGGGTTTCTATGGCAGGGGCAGGTTATAGCTTCCCTGCCCGTACTCAATGCACTCATATGTGCCACCAAACTTTCTTTTCCCTTTAAAAAAAAAATGGAGGTGAAAGTCCTGTAACATAAAGCAATCTAAAGCGTACAACTCAGTGACATGTACATGGACAATGCTGTGCAGCCACCACCGCCTAGTTCCTAAACATCTTCATCACCCCAAAATAAAACCTGGTACCCAGTCAGCAGTCAGCCTCATCCTCCCTTCCCTCAGCTTCTGGCAACCACCAAGTTGCTTTCTGCGTCTATGGCATTACCTGTTTTGGATACTTCATATAAACGGGATCATACAATATGTGGGCTTTTGTGTTTGGCTTCTTTCACTTAACGTACTGTTTTCAAGGTTCATCTACATTGTAGTATGGATCAGGGGTTCATGCCTTTCTAGGACTGAGCTGTATTCCACTATGTGGATGTACCATATTCTGTTTACCTATTTATCTGTTGATGGACAGTTGGGTTGTTCCCACCTGAACTATTGTGAATAGAGCTGCTATGAACACTTGTGTCCAAGTATTTGAACACCTCTTCTCAATACTTCTGGGTATATACCTAGGAGTGGAATCGCTGGGAGTGGAAATGCAATGGTAATTCTGTATTTAATTTTACTGCCAGATTGTTTACATGTGATTAAACATTTGCCTCTGTTCTTCACCCTCACAGGTCTTCCTTGACTTGTCCCCACTGCCTGAAGCAGAGCAACACCTTTGATCCTTTCCTGTGTGTGTCCCTACCTATCCCCTTGCGCCAGACGAGGTACGTGGGTGTCGCAGCTTGCCCGGTGAACTTGACTTCCATCCTTACTCATTATGGGGAACCTTCTGCCCTCACACCTGCCATTTTCTCTCTTTTGCTTCTCAGCCAGCATTTCTCTGGAAACCAGCCTTATAGCTGGATGACATTCAACTATTAAAACTGACAGAGTAAAAGGTTACTGTGTCCCTTCTCTAGCTAAGGAGGAAATTATGAATGTTTGGCACGATTGCCAGTCTTAGGTCTGTAGCCCATTCAGAAGCTGGCACAGACCCATTGGCCTCACTTGGTCAGACAGGGGCTAACCAGGGAAAGAAAACCTGTGGCCACCTGCTTTTCCCAGCTTTATTTCAATTTCAATTTCAAAAATCTATTTTCTTCTTTGGGAAGGTGTAGGAAAAAGATGTCTTTAAGGAGCAAAGAAAGAGGGAAGGGGTTGTTTGGGGGAAGATGAGAAAAAAAGAAAAGCAGAGGTAGTGCTGGGCGACAGGTGCCATGGCTGAGTTCTATAAAAGTAAGCCCGAATCTTAACAGTGGCCATTGAGGCAAATGGCCAATGTCAGCGTCCTGGCATGCAGGTGAGCACCCATGTGGGATGTCTTCTCTGGCATTGGAACAGAGGCATTCCTTTTTATGTTCCCCGCCTCCTTAAGTGCCATTTCTCTTACCCTCTACCTGTTGACATCCCCTGCCTTTAGGATGCAGCTGAAGACATGACATCTACAGAAGCCCTTCCTTGGCAACTCAATCTCCCTTTCTGCTCTAAAATCCTGTGCTGCTAGTCTTCTGCATTACAAATATAACTGTTATACTACAATGTGGCTTATACTGTGTATCATCAGTGACACCATCAGATAATGTTAACTTATAGGTGTGATCTAAGGCTTCCAGCCTGATGCAGCACAGCACAGTGGTTAAGATGATTGACTTTGGAGCCAGACAGTCCAGGTTCAAATCCCAGCTCTATTAATTACCTGTGTGACTTGAATAATTAGTGGAGTACAGATCAAGGGAAATAGTGCTAGAGTGGACCTTCATGTGCTGGTGGGACGGGGAAGCAGAGATTTCCAAAGGAGACTCATTAAGGAGAATGCCATCAGTAGTGTTGATTTGTACTGAAAAAAACCCAAAAACTTGAACGCTTTATTTTTCAAACTTTGGAGTTTGTTTCTGTTTATGCTTTCCTATTTAACAAATAGAGCCTTGAGGTTGAACATCTCTATGGTGATTCTTAATCAAATACTTTTCCCCCAACTGTCTGGAAAAGCAGTTTAGAAGATTTGGCTCTACCCTGCCACCTGGTGACAATGTACCAAGTACAGGGACACAACCAGGAAGCAGAGATTAACTATGTGCTGAACTTAATCCATTGTGTTTTTTGTTTTGTTTGTTTGTTTGTTTGAGATGGAGTCTCACTCTTTTGCTCAGGCTGGAGTGCAGTGGTGCAATCTTGGCTCACCCTCCCAGGTTCAAGCGATTCTCCTGCCTCAGCCTCCCAAGTAGCTGGGATTACAGGCGTGCGCCACCACTCCTGGCTAATTTTTTTGTATTTTTGGTAGAGACGGGGTTTTCACCATGTTGGCCAGGCTGGTCTCGAACTCTTGACCTCAGGTGATCTACCTGCCTTGGCCTCCCAAAGTGCTAGGATTACAGGTGTGAGCCACTGCGCCCAGCCTTGATCCATTATCAACAATGTCATTCACGGTTCATGGCAGTCTTTTAAGGGTGTTGCCCCTTCCTATTTTCCAGGTTCTTGAGTGTCACCTTGGTCTTCCCCTCTAAGAGCCAGCGGTTCCTGCGGGTTGGCCTGGCCGTGCCGATCCTCAGCACAGTGGCAGCCCTGAGGAAGATGGTTGCAGAGGAAGGCGGCATCCCTGTAGATGAGGTGTGATAGAATTGCATTGGGGCCTGGTCATTGGATGATAGAATGCTTACTGAGCCAGCTGTCTGGGCTGTTTAGGCCAATTTGTGGTTCCCAGGTGACTCCAGCGTGACTCATGGGTTTCTGTTTGATTAGTAATGCCTGGCGTCTGGGATGATAGGCCTTGACTTCTCCCTGCATTGAGACAGAATGACCAGAAAAGAACACCTTTGCCTTCAAGGAAGGTGGTGATGATTATGATCGTAATAATCCCAACAATAGCTAACCCTAGGTAGTGCTTACTAAGTGTGGGGCACTATTCTGTGAACTTTATATTCATGCCTGATTCAATGACAGGAATCCTGTGAAGTAGACCTTCCAATTGTCCTCATTTTACTAACAGGGAATAAAGAAGTTCTGAGAGGTTAGGTGACTTGCCCAACATCACTAGCTAGTAAGTGGCAGAGCCGGGATTTGGATTTCGATGGTTTGACTCCGTAGCTCAAGTCGCCATTGCATATTTTCACTCTTGGGGATATAAACCAGGATACTAAAGGAACAGTAAATAAACGGGGACTTGCCGAGAGAACTGAGGATGTGGAACAGGAGAGGGAACATCTGGGGGAAGCGGGGTTGGCTGTGTTCTACTTGTTTTTTTTTCAAATGAGTCTTGGTGAAGGCATTGGATTCGTGGTGCCTGGAGGGGCCCTCATGAGAAACAGGGAGGAGGCCATGATGGCATCAAGCTACGTGGCAGGATGGGAGGGCCTCTAAGGGTGATTCAGTGGCTCCCTAGGTTTCTGACCCTGGACACACCACGTGATTGGCTCTCTGTCCTTAACAGTGAAGTAGAAAATTGACACTTCCCTGACTACCTCATGGAATTTTTTTTCAAATCAAAAAATATTTTTAACCTTGTTGGTAAGGCATGCCACATATACGATAATGTATACATATCTTAAGGTTGTGGTGGGCTAGGCGTGGTGGCTCATACCTGTAATCCCAGCACTTTGGGAGGCTGAAGTGGGCAGATCACCCGAGGTTCGGAGCTTCAGACCAGCCTGACCAACATGGTGAAACCCCATGTCTACTAAAAATACAAACAAATTAGCCGGGCATGGTGGTGCGTGCCTGTAATCCCAGCTACTCAGGAGGCTGAGGCAGGAGAATAGCTTGAACCCGGGAGATGTTCAGTGAGCTGAGTCGCGCCATCGCACTCCGGCATGGGTGACAAAGTAAGACTCCATCTCAAAAAAAAAAAAAAAAAAAAAATGTGGTTTGCCAGGTTTCCCTACATTCATAGCTGCATTCCTATAACCTCCAGCCTTACTGAGCCTCCCCATCAACCCACTGGGCTCCTTTCTGCCCCTGCCCAGTCAATCCCTCTGACCTCTATCTCCACCTCATAGAATATTCATGACTCTCTCAAATAGTGGGGAAAATGTGTGTCTCTTGCTGTGTTAACTCTAAAATGCACTATGGGGACTTACTGAAAGAGACGGAGAGAGAGGAGTACAGTGGGTGAGAGTCCTGGGGAGAAAATGGCGGAAATAAAAGATCAAAAGGGAGAAGTCTATGAAAGGTAGCATTTGAATAATTAAGAGTGTGAAAAATTCTGGCAGGAATTTGAGAGGTGTGATGTGTTGGTTCAGGGAGGTGGGAATCACTTGGGATGCTGGTGGGGGATGGGGATTTAGATTGAAACTTAAAGTCATCTGTTTTGATGTTTTGTTTTCTTTAACTGGCAAATGTATTGCATTTATATTATCTAGAATCATGGATATATGTATTTGGATTTATTTATGTATATGCTATTTGCCCTGTTTTCCTATTTTGTGCCCCAGCCCCCAGCCCCTAATTTTTAGATTGAGCAGTCTTTTTCTTTTAGAAGATGATTCTTTTAGATAGAGCAGTTTTTCTTTATTTCATCTCTTCTGGGATGAAGCACATATACATTATATTTCTATTCATTTAGTGGTTATTAAAACATCAACATGGATAATTACTAGTCTAATGTTAATCTTCCTATGTAACGCAAGGATCCTGGTATGCGTTAAATTCCCTTATACCTTTTTGATTTAGATATTGTTGTCCAGTATTTTAATCCCTTCTCTACCTCCAATTGTAACAGTAGTAATAGTTATTATTTGAGCTTTATATAGTCAATAATATTTACATTTACCAATGTTTACCATTTTCTTTGGCTCATCATTTCTTCCGACAACTCAAGTTTTCTCTTTGATTCAAGTTTTTAAATCCTGAAATCTATTTATTTATGAATGAATAAATGAATGACAGGGTTTTCCCCTGTTGCTCAGGCTGAAGTGCAGAGGTGTGATCATAGCACACTGCAACCTTGAACTCTGGGCTCAAGGGATTCTCCGACCTCAGCCTCCTAAGTAGCTGGGACTACAGGCTCATGCCACCATGCCCGGCTAATTTTTAAAAAAAAATTTTGTAGAGGTGGAGGTCTCACTATATTGCCCAGGCTGGTCTCAAACTCCTGGGCTTAATTGACCCTCCTTCCCCAGCCTTCCGTAGTGTTGGGATTATAGGCATGAGCCACTGTGCCCAGCCCTGAAATGCATATTTTTAAAGAGAACTTCCTAGCCAGTGTACGTTGAATGGGTTATGTGTGATGAGATATTGATTTCTTCAGCCCTTAGGGTAGCAAAGTTGGGTCTAAGGCAGTCAGAACCCCCATAGTAGTCACTCCTCTACTCTACTACAAAACCATCTCCTATTTACTTCTGTTTGGTAAAAATATTTTTTTTATGTATGACATCATGTGAAAAAGAATAGTAACGCTATTCAGAAGTTCTTTCTGCAGTAAATGCTTTTTGTTCACATGAAGAGGGCTTTATTTTGTTTTCATTTTTTCTGTGCTTGTTTAGCTGGGTATAAAACTTTTAGTTTTTTTTCAGTTTCTTTTTTGTTGCACTTGAGATGTCTATGGACCATCTAATTGTTATTTTATTTTTTATTTTTATTTTTATTTTTTGAGATAAGTTTCACTCTTGTTACCCAGGCTGGAGTGCAATGGTGCAATCTCGGCTCACCGCAACCTCCGCCTCCTGTGTTCAAGCAATTCTCCTGCCTCAGCCTCCCAAGTAGCTGGGACGACAGGTGTCTGCCACCATGCCCAGCTAATTTTTGTATTTTTAGGAGAGACGGGGTTTCACCATGTTGACCAAGATGGTCTCGATCTCTTGACCTCGTGATCCACCTGCCTCGGCCTCCCAAAGTGCTGGGATTATAGGCATGAGCCACCGCAGCCTGGCCATGGACCATCTAATTGTTATATTTACTGTGCCTTACCACTAAAAATAAGTAGCCAACTAGAAGGAAGGAAAAGGTGAAAAATGGGTGTTGACTATCAGTCACTTTCAGATTTATCTGTTAATTTCTCTTTCAGAAATCAAGAGGGAAAATGATCTTTCTCATTTCAGGTGATCTTGGTTGAACTGTATCCCAGTGGATTCCAGCGGTCTTTCTTTGATGAAGAGGATCTGAATACCATTGCAGAGGGAGATAATGTGTATGCCTTTCAAGTTCCTCCCTTACCCAGTCAGGGGACTCTCTCAGGTATAATAGATGCTTTGCAAATTTTACTTGGCTATGATGAGTTGTAGGTTTCAGAGGATACTCTTTGGGTGCTAAGGCATAAAACATCCACTTTTAGCACTTGGAACAATCACACTTATTAACCCTGGTATTTGTTGTGTGCAGATGGTTGATATTAAAAATTATTCAGTGAATACAGGATTCTCAAAACCTCAGTTTTGAATATCAGAATCACCTGAGGGCTTGTGAAAGCAGATTTCTGGACCCTCCCCACAGAGTTTATTATTCAGGTGGCCTGGAGTGGGGCCTAAGAGTTTGCAAATCTAATGAGTTCCCAGGTGATGCTGATGCTGCTGGTCCAGGGACCACACTTTTGAACCACTTTTTGGTATAGATGCTGGGGTCATCTTTGTTGTCAGGATTCGTACGGGTCAAGGTTTTATTTGGAGTAAAATATCTACAAATTTGAGCAGTACATGGTTAAAGAGGTTATTAAATGACTTTTCAACAAAATAGTTCCACTTCTTATGCTTGTGTTTCCTATTCCATAGACTGGCTAAAATGGTCAATTTCTAACAGTCCTTTTTATTTGTTGGTCAGTATACATTTTGGTTAAGTTGCTAGTGAAGGAGGCCCATATATATATATATATGTTTTGAGATGCATTCTTGCTCTGTCACCCAGGCTGGAACCTCTGCCTCTTGGGTTGAAGTGATTCTCCTGCCTTAGCCTCCCAAGTAACTGGGATTACAGGCACACACCACCACACTCAGCTAATTTTTGTATTTTTAGTAGAGATTAGGTTTCACCATGTTGGCCAGGCTTGTCTCAAACTCCTGACTTCAGGTGACCCTCCCACCTTGGCCTCCCAAAGTGCTGGGATTACAGGTGTGAGCCACTGTGCCTGGCTAGAAGACCCATATTTAAAGGACCCTATGCCAGTGTTACATTATACCCCAGATGATTCCTATGCCCTGGCCCCATGTCCTTAGCCAGGCTGGTAGCTGGCCATGGGAACAGGATGTTTGCAGTTCTCTGAGTTGACAGGGAGATGCTGGGCACTGGAATCTAGAACAGAACATTAACTGACACTCGCTATGTCACAACCCAGTGAAACAAGTTCTCCTTTCAAATTCAATAATGGTTGACACATCTTTTCCTTGAAAGTCAAAATTTCAGAACTGATTGGAAATGGAGGATAGTCCAAATTCCTCTACTTCCTCATTGGTAAAGATTCTCACCTTTCTCTGTATACTTCTTACGTTGGCTTTCTAAGAGAGTAGGTACCCTGGGGGCTCTGTGATGAAGTCATAAAAGCAGCCAGAATTATTTTGGAGTATTTTTCAGGTACTTTGAAAAATATTAGTTAAATTCTTGTTCCTGTTTTAAAACTATAGGGTGATGGCCAGGTGCGGTGGCTCATGCCTGTAATCCTAACAGTTTGGGAGGCCAAGACGGAAGGATCACTTGAGGTCAGGAGTTCAAGACCAGCCTGGTCAACATGATGAAACCCCATCTCTACTAAAAATACAAAAAGATTAGCTGGGCACGGTGGTGCACATCCACACTCCCAGCTACTTGAGAGGCTGTGACAGGAGAATCACTTGAACCTGGAAGGCAGAATTTTCAGTGAGCTGAGATGGTGCCACTACACTCCAGCCTGAGGGACAGAGCAAGACTCGTCTCAAACAAACAAACAAACAAACAAAAAACTATTGCATGAACACAATTGCAAATTCACTACTGTAGTTTTAATGTCTGTATGCCAGGTGTCAGATGGCACAAGTGCCAGGAGCCTTAGTATCTCCTCCCCTAAAGCTTTCTAGTGGCCTCCTGTTGATGGTTAACAGATGCTCAAAGAGAAAGAGGGACTAGAGAAGCTAAGGCTCTGACCCAGCAAAGCAGCTCCTTTAAGAATATGAACAAATGTCATTCTCTCTCCTCCAGCTCATCCACTGGGTCTGTCACTCTCCCCACGCTTGGCAGCCCGTGAGGGTCAGCGATTCTGCCTCTCCCTCCACAGTGAGAGCAAGGTGCTAATCCTCTTCTGTAACTTGGTGGGGTCAGGGCAGCAGGCTAGCAGGTATGTTTCACTTTATTCTTTTTTCATGTGGTGTCTGGGATTTGTAGACTTGTACATGGGAGCCTGTCTAGAGTAAAATTAAATATTTATTCCCAAGGTTAATAAACAAGGAGCCAGGAGTAGGGTACTTTCTGATTAAGAGGATTAGAAATATCTGCCTTAAGCATTTGGCTAATGTCATCATTCCTAACCATCAAATATCAGAGGCCTTTCTATTAATTGGCCCTCACCACTATTATTTTATATTGTAAAACCTAGGCAGTACAGTGCTGAAAGAAACTGGCTATCAGAAAAGAGGTGATAGTTTGTTAGTCTGTCCAGAAAACCAAGAACTGGAAAGTGATTGGGAGTAAGGAAAGGATTCAGAATATTGATGGGTTATATAGCAAGTATACAAAAACAGAGAGCTTTCTTATATAGCGCAAATAAAGCGTCTAAAAGCCAGAATTACATTAAGATATATTTAGATAAATAAAATGTTTCTAAAATGTATCTTAAATAATAAACTGGTAAAAACAAAAAGAGAGTTATTCTAATAACAATTAAAATATTATTAATTCACTTAGCTTTTAAAAATCAATTAGCCCAGCCTTATTGAATAATTCATTAACTCTCCAGTAATATGAAATACATCATTTTTATCATATAATAAATACTTATAGATAGTTAGCCTGTTCAACTGATTTAATTGTATATTCTTCTGCCTTTTTACAATATTTTAATAACTTCAGAATTATGGTATATTTCACATTACTACAGAGTGAATGAATTATTCAAAAGTAAGGCTGGGCTAATTGATTTCTTTGTTTCTTTTTATTTTAAATAGTCAACTTTTTACTCCTGCTGTGAATTCACAGGTATAAATTTCAGGTTGACTAGAGATGTAACTGTAGAAAAGGAAGCCATAAAATAACTTAAAGACAGCTGAGGCAGGCAGATCACAAAATCGGGAGTTCCAGACCATCCTGGCTAACATGGCGAAATTCTGTCTTTATTAAAAATATGAAAAATTAGCTGGGAGTGGTGGTGCGTGCCTGTAGTCCCAGCTACCTGGGAGGCTGAGGCAGGAGAATTGCTTGAACCCGTGAGGTGGAGGTTGCAGTGAGCTGAGATTGCACCACTGCCCTTGAGCCTGGGCGACAAAGTGAGATTGTTCAAAGAACAAAAACGAAAAAAAAAAGTTAAAGATGACATGGAAGAATATTTATGTCCTTGGGTAGGGGCCAGTTTGACAGCAAAGGCAGGAGTCTGTGAAGGCAAAGGCTGATGTTTTAAATATATTTAAGAATTTAAACTAAAAGCAAATTTGAAAGGCAAAGGGCAAATCAGGAAAGATATTTATGTCATGTGAGAGGCGAAGGATTTATGTCCATCCTATAAATCCCAGCTCTCTCAAATTGAGGCGATAAATACCCTTGGTGAAATGAACCACAGAGATTAACATTAGTTCACAGAAGAAATTCAAGTATAGGCTAAAATATTCAGCATCGGCCAGGTGTGGTGGCTCATAACTGTAATCCCAGCACTTTGGGAGGCCAAGGCAGGTGGATCACCTGAGATTGGGGGTTTGAGACCAGCCTGACCAACATGAAGAAACCTGTCTCTACTAAATATATAAAATTAGCCAGGCGTGGTGGCACATGCCTATAATCCCAGGTCCTCAGGAGGCTGAGGCAGGAGAATCACTTGAACCAGGAGGTGGAGGTTGCGATGAGCCCAGATTGCACCAATGTACTCCAGCCTGGTAAACAAAAGTGAAAGTCCATCTCAAAAAAAAAAAAAAAAAAAGCAACATCATTTGTAGTAGAAGAAATACTGGTTACAACAGCAAGATACTATGCTTAACCTTTTAGATTATTAAATAATTTTTAGAAATTGATAATACTCATTCTGGGCCAGAGTCCAGAGAATCAGGTAAATTGGTATGGCTTTTGTGGACAGTATGGGAAGAAAGAGCTTTAGTCTTGCCTTTCTACTTCTGGAATTTTACCCTAAGGGAATAATTGTGTACCCACAGGTATGTCCAAGGTTACATGTAGTTCCTGCGATAAGCAAGAATTGTTTAAATGAAAACTTGGAATGGCTCATGGTACAGGATGAATTAAGTGAACGGATCTGTCCATACAACAATGGACGCACAGTGCCCTTGCCTGTCCAGACAGATTGCCTCATACTCGTGCTCTGCTTTGGCCAATTTCATTCAACAGTTTCACATTCTTACCTCATTGGGTCTTCACACAGGCTGCAGTGAGGTCAGGAAGCAGCAAGTGGCTAGTGATTTGTCCAGGAGTACCCACAGCAGAGTTAGGGCCCCCAGGCACAGGCTCACCCAGCATTCTGTACCCCATGAGCTCACTGCTGTGTGCTTACTAGGTTGGGACATGGAAACCATCCCCAGTGATAAGAATATTTCTGATACCCCAAACCAACAATTGGGTCGTCTGGATTTATGTCTCTGCCTTGCCTTCCTCTGGCTCCAAGTTTCTCTTGCTCTACTCCGTGCTGTGGGGAAGAGACTTTGCCAGCTAGCTGGTCATTTAGAGTAATCTGTTTACATGGCAGTATCTATCTGGCTTTGTGTCACTGGGCCTCTGTTTACATTGCAGTGTTTCTATTCATTATGAGGCTCTCTGATTGGCAATTTTGTATTGTGTTTGGCTTTAAAAATATTTACATTGCTTTTAATTGACACATAATTGTACATATTTATGGGGTACAGAGTGATATTTTGATACATGTATATAGTGTGTAATGATCAAATCAGGGTAATTGGAATAACTATGACCTTAGACATTTATCATTTCTTTGTGTTGGGAAGATTCAAAATCCTACCTTCTAGCTATTGAAAACATACAATAAATGATTGTTAACAATAGTCACCCTTTACTGCTATGGAACATTAGAACTTATTCCTCCTATCTAGCTATAATTTTTAATTCATTACCTTACCTTAGACCCTCTCCAGCCCCTCCCAGCCTCTAGTAGAATGACTATTCTATTCTACTTCTTTGACATTAACTATTTTAGATTCCACATGAGAGAGAACATGTAGTATTTATCTTCCTGTGCCTGACTTATTTCACTTAACATAATGTCCTCTAGCCTCATCCATCTTGCTGCAAACAACAGGATTTTATTCTTTTTATGGGCGCATACTATTCCACTGTATATATAGACTACATTTTCTTTTTCATTTCTTTCCCATTCATCCACTGATGCACACTTAGGTTGATTTGGAATCTTGGCTATTGTGAATACCCCTGCAATTTACACAGGAGTGCAGAGATCTCTTTCACATAATGGTCTTTCCTTTGGATAAACACCTAGTAGTGGGATGACTGGGTCATATGGTAGTTCTAGCTTTAGTTTTTTAAAGAACCACCGTGCTGTTCTCCATGGTGTCTCCATTTCCACCAACAGTGTACAAGAGTTCTCTTTTCTCTACATGCTCACCAGCATTTGTTTTTTCTTATCTTTTTGATAATAGCCATCTTAACTAAGGTATGATGATATCTTATTGGGGTTTTGACTTGCATTTCCCTGATAATTAGTATTGTTGAGTATTTTTTCATATGCCTGTTGGCTACGTATGTCTTTCTGAGAAATGTCGGTTCAGATCCTTTGCCCATTTTTAAATGGGATTGTTTGTTTTGTTTTGTTTTTTTGCTGTTGGGTTTTTGGCTTTGGTTCTTAACTCGTCACCTCTCCTATTGTGAGAAAGCCAGAGGTAGAACAACCACTCGTGACTGGTGGATGTTGGTGGTTTTTCCTTTGCTGGGATAACCTGATTTCCTTGGATTTTCAGGTTTGGGCCACCCTTCCTGATAAGGGAAGACAGAGCTATTTCCTGGGCCCAGCTCCAGCAGTCTATCCTCAGCAAGGTCCGCCATCTTATGAAGAGTGAGGCCCCTGTACAGGTCAGTGTGGGGTGTGTGTGTGTGTGTGTGTGTGTGTGAGTGTGCATACATGTGTGTGTGTGTGTTGGGAGGGATAGAATCTAGGGTAGCTCAGGAGAGGAGAATTTGCTGTTAATAAGTACTCATACTGCTTTATAAAATGACTTAAATTTATGTGCAAGGAAGTGACCATTTTCTAGTCTGTAGAGTTTTACTTTTGTGCCATTCCAAAATAACTTTCATGGACAGAGCTTTTTTTTTATTAAATCTTTCAAAACACCATTGGGATAAAAAATAGCATGTACATTTAAAAAAATTTTTTTTCACATTTTCCACCACTCCCTAAGCATTTACGTTATTATTCCCAATTTTGTATACTTATGGCTTACCATAGTTTTTCCTAGACGATAGCATATTGTAATAAATTGTAACTATATGTTTAAATTAACAATTTCAAGGGACTTGAGATAGAATTTCTGTGGAAAATTAAAATGAACAATTATGTCCAAATATGAAAATCTGGATGTTAAACTAATTTTGTCCAGTTTTTTAAAAACTAAGATAACTCAAAGGAAAGTAACATCTGCCTTATTTATTTATTTATTCTCACATTGATAGTTTCCAAACAAAAACAAAATTTTTAAAAACTATTGATTTTATTTTTAGATCATATAATATCAGAAACTATTCTGATGGTTGCTTGGCACAAAAGATGTTGAAATGTTTAGGGACAGGTCAGTAGCATCAGATTCCTGTTTTCCCCTAACTATTCTCATAGTAAAAGCTTTTTATTTGGGGCACACACAGACCTTACCTCAGAGATAATTCCTCATAATTCATGTTCCTTCCTGCTCATCGAAAACCATAGGTTTGATTTATACCAAATAACATTTTGTTAAAAACCTTCAATACATTTGTACCAACTTTTATCTCTAAAGGATTTTGTTCAACGTACTGTAGAGCAGATCTGCCAAAGTGCCCAAATTAGAAACTCCTCTACAAGTAGGTCAGCACATCCAGTGATAGCTTTTGCCTCCTGCCAAATCTTGAGTTACTAATTATTGCAATGGATGAAACCACCTTCCTGTGAGCATTTAACTCAGCTGTCCTTACTCTCACCTGCTCACACACCTGTACTTTTGCCTCCACACCTTTGCAGTCATTTCAACTTTATTTTATTTTTGAGATAGGGTCTCACTCCAACACCCAAGCTGGAGTGCAGTGGTATGGTCATGGCTCACTGCATCTTTAACCTCCCAGGCTCAAGCGATCCTCCCGTCTCTGCCTCCTGAGTAGCTAGGGCTACAGGTGTGTGCCACTGCACCCAGCTAATATTTTTATTTTTTATTTTTTTTGAGACAGAGTCTCAGTCTGTCGCCCAGACTGGAGTGTAATAGAGCGATCTTGGCTCACTGCAACCTCTGCCTCCTGGGTTCAAGCAATTCTCTGCCTCAGCCTCCTGAGTAGCTGGGATTACAGGCGCCACCTTGCCCAGCTAATTTTTGAATTTTTAGTAGAGATAGGGTTTCACAATCTTGGCCAGGCTGTTCTTGAACTTCTGACCTTGTGATCCCCCCGCCTCGGCCTCTTAAAAGTGCTAAGATTATAGGCATGAGCCGCTGCGCCCAGTCAATTTTTAAATATTTTTGCTAGAGATGGAGTTTCACCATTTTGCCCAGGGTAGTCTTAAACTCCTGGGCTCAGGTGATCCATCTGTCTCAGCCTCCCAACGGGTTGGGATTACAGGTGTGAACCACTGTGCCCAGCCCAATTTCAGTTTTAGAAATGGATCAAGCAATCAATGGAGCCAGCAAAAATCCTAACAGAGGCAACCTTTGACTCAGCCACAGATGCTTTCCTACAGATTCATGGGTAAATGTATGGTCACACTTGATTTTCTGTAGGAGTAATGTGTTCTAGATGGTTGTGAGGCTTCCAGGCTGGCCCATCCATTTAACCCATAATTCCTTCAATACTATATTAAATACTGATGCAAATATAGTAATTTGAAGAGAATATATTCAGGATTCTCAATATTGAACTGAAGAGATTAAACCTATGTGTATTGAAGGTTTGAACATGAACCTTCCTAGCCAAGTATAGAGAACAGGAAAGTTTCTTACAAAAATGACCAATTTACTGGATAGGATTAATTCGCATGTATTATGAAAAAAGAGCTATCATTGCTTTTTTTTTTTTTTTTTTTTTTTTTTTTAAAGAGATAGAGTCTTACTCTGTTGGCCAGGCTGGAATGTGGTGGTGAGATCATAGTTCACTGCAGCCTTGAACTCCTGGCTCAAGTGATCCTCCCACCTTATTCTTCCAAGTAGCTGGGACTACAGGCACCTGCTATCATGCCTGATTAATTATTTTAATTTTTTTGCAGAGATGGGGTCTCACTGTGTTGCCCAGGTTGGTATCAAACTCCTGGCCTCATGCGGTCCTCCCACATTGGCCTCCCAAAGTGCTGGGATTACAGGCATGAGCCACCATGCCTGGCCACCCAAACATTTTTATGGTATTTTGTAAACGGAAGTGTGTGAGGCCGGCACTGTTTCTTTGCATGCCGGCAGTAGGCTGCTCTGTGCAGATGTTGGTGCTGTGATGATGCTATCCAAACAGCAAGGCTCCATTAGGAGTGGAAGAAAGAGAGTTTCCTCCCCCAGATTTAAGTTAACATTCTCCTCAGGGAGAACACCCTTCCATGGCCAACCCTCAGTCAAACCCCTGAAGTCAGCTTGCTTCCAGCCATTGATTTCCTCTTTGTTGAAGCCATAGATGAGCTACAATGTGGTGAGAGTTTGGCTAGACATACAAGCTCCTTGTCCTTCACACTCAAGACCCCCTGCAGTCCAGTTCCAGTTTACCCACGAGCCTTGTGGCCTAGGCTCCCCGCACACATCAGCTCCGATGGCTGAAGGAGTCAGCTCACAGCTCTGCGTCTGTTTCGCATCATTCCATCCTTCCATGTGTTGTTCCTCTTTTCTGGAATTATGATGCTTTTCTCTTGTTTTCCTTTCATAATCTAACCTATATTTCCTCCCTGGTTTTTAAGAAAACAAGTCTGCCTTTTACCTTGTCAGAGTTTGGAAGAAGATTTTATTTTATTTCTGGTTGTCAAGATCATCAGTGACCAATTTAAGAACCATATTTCTTTTGAATGAAGACCCCATTGATTTTTAAAAAAAAATTGTTGGTAAAATATATATACATTTATTTTAACCACCCGTAAGTGAATATTAATCACATTTACAGTGTTGTGTCACCAACACTATTATGTATACTCCCAATTTTTTCATCATCAACAAAATCTTTATACCTATTAAAAAACAAAAACTTTGGCTGGGCGCTGTGGCTCACGCCTCTACTCCCAGCACTTTGGGAGGCCAAGGTGGGCGGATCACCTAAGGTCAGGTATTCAAGACCAGCCTGGCCAACACGGTGAAACCCTCTCTCTACTAAAAATACAAAAATTAGCCAAGTGTGGTGGTGTGTGCATGTAATCCCAGCTACTCTGGAGGCTGAGGTAGGAGAATTGCTTGAACCTGGGAGGTGGAGGTTATAGTGAGCTGAGATCACACCACTGCACTCCAGCCTGGGTGACAGAGCAAGACTCTGTCTCAAAACAAACAAACAAATAAACCTTTATACCTATTAGAAAACAATTCCTCAATAAAAGCTTTATACTTATTAAACAATTCCCCATATTTTCCTCTCCCTAGCTCCTTACAACCACCATTCTACTTTCTATCTGTATGAAGTTTCCTGTTTTAGATACTCAAATAACTAAAATTATATGATATCTATCTTTGTACATCTGACTTCACTAAATGTTATGCTTTTAAGGGTCATCCGTGTTGTAGCATATCTTGGAATTTTCTTTTTTTGCTTTTTTTTTTTTTTTTTGAGACGGAGTTTCACTCATGTTACCCAGGCTGGAGTGCAATGGCGCGATCTCGGCTCACCGCAACCTCCGCCTCCTGGGTTCAGGCAATTCTCCTGCCTCAGCCTCCTGAGTAGCTGGGATTACAGGCACGCACCACCATGCCTGGCTAATTTGTTTTTTGTATTTTTAGTAGAGACGGGGTTTCACCATGTTGACCAGGATGGTCTTGATCTCTTGACCTCATGATCCACCCCCCTCGGCCTCCCAAAGTGCTGGGATTACAGGCTTGAGCCACCGCGCCCGGCCTCTTTTTTTGTTTTTTAATTTTTTCTTTTTTTGAGACTGTGTTTCACTCTTGTTACCCAGGCTGGAGTGCAATGGCATGAACTTGGCTCACTGCAGCTTCCATCTCCCCAGTTCCAGTGATTCCCCTGCCACAGCCTCCTGAGTAGCTGGGATTACAGGCACTCGTCACCATACCTGGCTAATTTTTTTGTAGTTTTAGTAGAGACCAAGTTTCTCCATGTTGGTCAGACTGTTCTGAAACTCCTGAATCCACCTGCCTCAGCCTCCCAAAGTGCTGGGATTACAGATGTGGGCCGCCACACCAGGCTGCCTTCATTTTTAAGGCTAAATAATATTCTATTGTGTATATATCCCACATTTTGTTTATCCATTGTTGGTGGACACTTGGGTTGTTTCTTTCTTTTGACTTGTTTTGAATCATGCTGCCATGAACATTGGTGTATAAATATCTGTTCAAGCCCCTCCTTTTGACTCTTAGATATACACCTAAGAGTAGAATTAAAGGTTTTGTGGTAGTCTACATTTAACCTTTTGAGAAACTGCTGAACTGTTTTCTACAGCAACTGTACCATTTTACATTCTCACCAGCAATGCATAAGGGTTCCAGTTTCTCCATATGCTTGCCAATGCTTGTTATTTTCTGTTTAAAAAAAAAAATTGCAAATTTTAATTATAGGCTGGGCACAGTGGCTCATGCCTGTAATCCCAGGACTTTTGGAGGCCGAGGTGGGAGGGTCACCTGAGGTCAGGTGTTGGAGAGCAGCCTGGCCAGCATGGTGAAACCCCATCTCTATTAAAAATACAAAAATTAGCTGGGCGTGGTGGCAGGTGCCTGTAATCTCAGCTACTTGGGAGGCTGAGGCAGAAGAATCACTTGAACTTGGGAGGCAGAGTTTGCAGTGAGCCGAAATTGTGCCATTGCACTCCAGCCTGGGTGACAGAGTGAGACTTCATCTAAAAAAAATATAGGTTTAATTATAACCATCCCAGTGGGTGTAAAGTGGTACCTCATCATGGTCTTGATTTGCATTTCTCTAATGACTAATGATGTTGCTGATCTTTTCATGGGCTTCTTGGCCATCTGTCCATCTTTTGAGAAGTATCTACTCAAATGTTTGCTCATTTTTTAATTGAGTTGTTAATTCCATTGAGCGTTTAAGAAGCATCTTCCATTAAACATATTATTGTAAGCCTCATTTCAATTTCAGAAAAGCTACAAAATAAAAACACGTATCTTAAAATAGTAACTAAGGTGCTATGTCTTTGTATAGCTTATTTAAAAATGTATAAATATTTACTTTGTAAAAAATACATGAATTGGCTTTTAAAAAATTGCCTCATTTTGGGGATGATAATCATCTTAATAAAGTAGGTTAAGTTGCATATTAAAAATTAATTAACATGATTGACTTATGTTCCATTAAATGTACCAGTATCTCCTCCAGTTAAACATTTGTTATTTAAATATACTGTGTTCGTTTTTGGGGGGAAGGTTTAATTAGATCATTACCTTAAAAGGTATAGTGTGCATCTTTGAAAATAATGAAGTTTTCAGCTCTTAATTTTGAATTCCAATTATTAAGGGAATAATCAAAATACACTCTGGAAAATAATGTTTACATTTTTAAATGTATGTGCCACTTTAGAGTCTAATTTAAATCAATAGAGGGACTACATAATGAGCCATTGTTTTTGTCTTGGCAGAACCTGGGGTCTCTGTTCTCCATCCGTGTTGTGGGGCTTTCTGTGGCCTGCAGCTATTTGTCCCCAAAGGACAGTCGGCCCCTCTGTCACTGGGCAATTGACAGGTAAGGGGAAGGTCCAGGTTCAGTGAGATAATGAACCCTTTCTTATGCCACTAGAGTTTTTTGAGGGTTATACCAATGAGATTGCTCACAGTATTTGTTATTCTTGATCACTTACCTCTCCAATACCAGCTGCTGCATTAGATCATTGGGCATATGCTGTGCTTTGGACCCTTATGTCTAGAGAGGCACCATTATGTCCACTTCAAAGATAGGGGGACACCAGTGTTCTCGAAGATTAGTTAACTTGATCACACTTAAACAACTAGTTAATAGGCAAGCCCAAATTTGAACCCAGATTGATATAACTAAAACCCAAATTTGTTCAATTAGGTCATGCTCCTGAATTCAACAAGAATATCTCCCTAGGGTACCTGAAGATTCTATAGCTGATTCATTGGTCCTGAACTGTAAGAGATTGTGGACTGTGGCTTAAGGTTAAAGCCAGTGTGGCCGTGTCTCTGGTGGCTACCTTGAAAGCCTTCTGGTGCATGTGGCCTTGCAAAACAACATCTGTGGGGCAGTTCTGCTCTATAAATGAATTGTCTGGCACTTCTCTTCATTTTCCCACAGACCCAAGGTTCTCAGTAAGGTCCACTCATTTCCTGACTTGGTCAGCCAAATTCTACCTGACCGCGATGGGCCTCTACACTTTTTTTTTTTTAATTTCATTGCATTTTAGGTTTTGGGGTACATGTGAAGAACATGTAAGATTGTTGCATAGGTACACACGTGGCAGTATGATTTGCTGCCTTCCTCCCCATCACCTACATCTGGCATCTCTCCCCTTGCTATCTCTCCCCAACTCCCCACCCCCCACTGACCCTCCCCTATTTCCCTCCAACAGACCCAAGTGTGTAGTGCTCCCCTCCCTGTGTCCCTGTGTTCTCATTGTTCAACACCCGCCTATGAGTGAAAACATGTGGTGTTTGATCTTCTGCTCTCGTGTCAGTTTGCTGAGAATGATGCTTTCCAGGTTCATCCATGTCCCTGCAAAGGACACAAACTCATCTTTTTTGATGGCTGCATAATATACGCCAGTTAGAATGGTGATCATTAAAAAATCTAGAGACAACAGATGCTGGAGAGGATGTGGAGAAATAGGAACACTTTTACACTGTTGGTGGGAGTGTAAATTAGTTCAACCATTGTGGAAGACAGTGTGGCGATTCCTCAAGGACCTAGAAATAGAAATTCCATTTGACCCAGCAATCCCATTACTGGGTATATATCCAAAGGGTTATAAATCGTTCTATTATAAGGACACGTGCACACGAATGTTCAGGGCCTCTACACTTCTAAAGAGACCAGGAACCAGGGTAGCGGATACGCCAAAAGAGTCTGTGACCTATACCCCATCCACATTCTCTTTGGCTGGTAGATGCTTTTGCTTTACAGAGTTAGGGAGGCAGGAGAAGGGTCATCAAGGGCCTGCTTGGGTCTCTTAGGGAGACGGAGCTCCAGGAAGAGGAACCCCGTTCCCATACTCAGTCTTGGAGATAAGAACTGTGCCACCCAAAGTCGTTCTGTAGACTGCCAGCCTATGAGCTGATCGTCACCGGCCCATGAAAAGAACTTGAGGGGAAGCATTTATGAATGATGAAGCAATAAGACAGAGCAAGGTATCATATGACAGACATGACAATTTCTTTTAAAAATGGAACTTATATCTTGTATGTCTTTCCTCGCCCCGCATTACTTTATTATTTATTTATTTATTGTTGAGGCGGAGTCTCACTTTGTCTCCTAGGCTGGAGTGTAGTGGCGCAATCTCTGCTCATTGCAGCTTCCACCTCCTAGGTTCAAGCGAGTCTCCTGCCTTCCTTCGTCTCCCAAGTGGCTGGGATTATAGGTTCGTGCCACCACACCCAGCTAATTTTTGTATTTTTGGTAGAGACAGGGTTTAACCATGTTGGCCAGGCTGGTCTCAAACTCCTGACCTCAAGTGATCCACCTGCCTCTGCCTCCCAAAGTGGTGGGATTACAGGTGTGAGCCACCGCACCCGGCCTATTATTTCTTTTTATTAAAGTATTGTTCTAGTTCAAGACCAACCTGGCCAAGATGGTGAAACCCTGTCTCTACTAAGAATACAAAAATTAGCCAGGCGTGGTGGCATGCACTTGTAATCCCAGCTACTAGGGAGGCTGATGCAGAGAATTGATTGAACGGGGGTGAGGGTTGGGGGGTGGGGGAGGGGCGGAGTTTGCAATGAGCCAAGATTGCGCCACTGCACTCCAGCCTGGGAAACCAGAGCGAAACTCTGTCTCAAAAACACTGTCTCAAAAAAAACACAAAAAGCCAAACAAAAAAGAAATGATTGATCTGCAGTGGTTTGGAAACAAATCAACAAACTGGTCTTTTACCATAGGTAATTTGAGAAGCACTAGAATTGAGTAGAGTTGTACAGCAAGCTGACCATCCTAAAGGATGTCCTGTCAAGGTCACACTCCTCCTGGCCCACACCTTCCATTCACTGGACATCTCACTGCAGTTTGGCCCTTGTTCACTCCACTCCCATCCCCACCCACAATCTCAGTCACTTTTCTTTTTTTTTTTTTTTTTTTTCTTTGAGACTGAGTTTCGCTCTTGTTACCCAGGCTGGAGTGCAATGGCACGATCTCGGCTCACCGCAACCTCTGCCCCCTGGGTTCAGACAATTCTCCTGCCTCAGCCTCCTGAGTAGCTGGGATTACAGGCATGTGCCACCATGCCCAGCTAATTTTTTTGTATTTTTAGTAGAGACGGGGTTTCACCATGTTGACCAGGATGGTCTCGATCTCTTGACCTCGTGATCCACCTGCCTCAGCCTCCCAAAGTGCTGGGATTACAGGCTTGAGCCACTGCACCCGGCCCCCAGTCACTTTTCTTTCACAGGACTCCCCATTTAGCCCTTGGCCTGTCTATTCCATGCCTATCTCAACATCTTGTTCTCCTAGGAATTTTTTTCCTTTTTTTTTCTTTTTTTTAGATAAAATCCGCAGAACATAAAAATTACATTTTTTTTTTTTTTTTTTTTTTTTTACGCAGTCTTGCTCCGTTGCCAGGCTGGAGTGCAGTAATGCAATCTCAGCTCACCGCAACCTCCACCTCCCAGGTTCAAGTGATATTCCTGCCTCAGACTCCCAAGTAGCTGGGACTACAGACACGTGCCACCATGCCCAGCTAATTTTTTGTATTTTTAGTAGATACGGGGTTTCACCGAGTTAGCTAGGATGGTCTCAATCTCCTAACCTCAGATGATCCACCCACCCCGGCCTCCCAAAGTACTGGGATTACAGGCATGAGCCACTGCACCAGGCGAAAGTTATATTTTAACCACTTTAAAGTGTACAGTTTGATGGAATTGTTACATTCACCTCCTTATACATCCATTGCGGCTATCCATCTCCAGAACTCTTTCATCTTGCAAAATGGAAACTGTTTCCATCACACAACATCCCTCCCATTCCTCTTCCTCAGTCTCTGGAAACCACCACCCTACTGCCTGTCACTATAAATTTACTAATGTAGATACCTCAGGTAACAGGAATCACAGTGTTTATCCTTTTGTGTTTGGCTTATTTGACTAAGCACCATGTTTTCAAGGTTCACCCATGTTTTAGCACGAATTAGAATTTCCTTCCTTTTAAAAGCTGAGTAATATTCTATTGTATGTATATACCACCTAGAAATATATCTTCTAGAATTTTTCTTGCCTGCTTGAAATATTCCTCTCCCTCTCTGGGATGCTTAAATATTACTGGGCTTCAGCATTCCACTCCTGGCCCACTGGGTTCCATCCCTGGGTGATCTTACTCTTGGTTCTGTCTACCACCTTTAGGACAAAAGATCTATATCTCCGCCCAGATTTTTCTCTGGATTGCAGACCTGCCTGTCCTAATGAAATGCCTCACAGATGCTGGTAACTAAACACTTGCCAGTCTGAACTCTTGCTTAAAGCTTCCACTTCCCATCTTTGTGTCTAAATGGCGACACCACCATGTACTCAGGAACTCAAACTAGGAACCTGGCATCACCCCTAATCCCTCCTTCCTGCCTTCTCCTTCCATTCAACCCATTCATTATCAGGTCTTGTCATTTCCCTATCCTGGCACTTCCTCAGCTCTCACCATTCCTCTCCACATTGACACCATTGTTTAGGCCCTGACCACGTCTTTTTTTCGTTCTTTCTTTTTTTTTTTTTTTTTTTTGAGAGGGGGTCTCATTCTGTCGCTCAGGCTGGAGTGCAATGGCTCAGTCTTGGCTCACTGCAAACTCCACCTCCTGGGTTCAAGCGATTCTCCTGCCTCACCCTTCTGAAGGGCTGGGATTACAGGTGCGTGCCACCACGCCCAGCTAATATTTTTGTATTTTTAGTAGCGACAGGGTTTCACTGTGTTAGACAGCTTAGTCTCGATTTCCTGACCTTGTGATCTGCCTGCCTTGGCCTCCCAAGGCGGAGCACTTTGTAATACCCACAGTGGTGATATTACAGGTGTGAGCTACCATGCCCGGCCAATCGCATCTTATCTGGATTGCTCTGGCAGCCTCCTGTTTGACTTACCTGAATCCATCCAGTCTCCTACGTGTTATAAACCACTGGATGGCCTCCCAGTGCCTATGGCATAAAGTCCACCCTTGTGAGGGTGGCCTGCAAAGCCCTGTCTCTCCCATGTGGCCTGTTCCTCACTGTGCTGGGATTTTCCAACACACACCATGCCCTCTACTGCTGAGCCCTCACCTGTGTGTCCCTTTCCCCTCCATTGGCTGACTTTTTAAAAAAGTTCATTAAATTTTTGGGCCTGACGTGGTGGCTCATGCCTGTAATCTCAGCACTTTGGGAGGCCGAAACAGTGGATCACTTGAGGCCAAAAGTTCGGGACCAGCCTGGCCAACATGGTGAAATCCCGTCTCTACTAAAAATACAAAAATTGGCCAGGCGTGGTGGCACGCGCCTGTAATTCCAGCTACTCGGGAGGCTGAGGCAGGAGAATCACTTGAACCTGGGAAGCAGAGCTTGCAGTGAGCCAAGATTGTTCCATTGCACTCCAGCCTGGGCTACAAAGCCAGACTTAGTCTCGAAAAAATAAAATGAAGATAAAAATTTCTTAACATTTTGTTTATTATTTATTTATTTTTATTGCTCTATCTTTCTTGGGTGAACGTTGTCTTCTCACTTACATACTTTATTTTTTTAAGGTTCATGGGTACAAGTGCAGGTTTTTACATGGGCATATTGTGTAATGCTGGGTTTCTATTGAATCTGTCACTGAAATAGCATAGTACTCAGTAAGTAGCTTTTCAACCCTCTCCCTCTCCTTCCCTCCCCTGTTTTGCAGTACTCAATGTCCAATTGTTCCTATCTTTTTTTTTTTTTTTTTTTTTGAGACGGAGTTTAGCTCTTGTTACCCAGCCTGGAGTGCAATGGCACGATCTCGGCTCACCGCAACCTCCGCCTCCTGGGTTCAGGCAATTCTCCTGCCTCAACCTCCTGAGTAGCTGGGATCACAGGCACGCGCCACCATGCCCAGCTAATGTTTTTTGTATTTTTTTTAGTAGAGACGGGGTTTCACCATGTTGACCAGGATGGTCTTGATCTCTTGACCTCGTGATCCACCCGCCTCGGCCTCCCAAAGTGTTGGGATTACAGGCTTGAGCCACCGCGCCTGGCCCAATTGTTCCTATCTTTATGTCCATGTGTACCGTGGTTTTAGCTCCCACTTGTGAGAACATGTGGTACTTGATTTTCTGTTTCTGCATTTATTCACTGAGGATAATGGCCTCCATCTTCATTCATGTTTCTGCAAAAAACATAATTTTGGCTGGGCACGGTGGCTCACGCCTGTAATCTCAGCACTTTGGGAGGCCGAGGCAGGCGGATCATGAGGTCAGGAGTTCAAGACCAGCCTGGCCAATATGGTGAAACCCCATCTCTATAAAAAAACAAACAAACACAAGCAATGATTTCTTTTTCTTTTCTTTTTTTTTTTTTCTGTGTGGTGTTCTATGTCTCATATGTACCACATTTTCTTTATCCAATCCACCATTGATGGATACTCAGTTTGATGCCATGGCCTTACTATTATGACTAGTGCTGTGATAAATGTGTGAGTGCAGGTGTCTTTTTGACACAATGATTTATTTTCCTTTGGGTAGATACCCAGGAGTGGAATTGTTGAGTTGAATAGTAGTTCTATTTTTAATTCTTTGAGAAATCACCATACTTTTTTCCAAAGGAGTTTAACTAATTTACATTCCCATCATTAGTGTCTAAGCATTCTCTTTTCTCTGCATCCTCGCCAATATCTGTTATTTTTTTGACCTTTTAATAATAGCCATCTGACTGATGTGAGATGGTATTTCGTTGTGGCTTTCATTTGCATTTCCCTAAGGATGAGTGATGTTGAGCACTTTTTAATGTGTTTCTTGGCCACTTTTAATATGTTCTTTGCCCACTTGTTAATAGCGTTATTTGTTTTTGTTGACTTAAGTTCCCTATATATTCTGGATATTAGTCTTTTGTCAGATGCATAGTTTGTAAAAATTGTCTCCCATTCTGTAGGCTGCCTGTTTATTCTGTTGATAGCTTCTTTTGCTGTGCAGACATCTTTAGTTTAATTAAGTTCCATTTTTCAATGTTCGTTTATGTTGCATTTGCTTTTGAGGTCTTAGTCATTCCTCTGGCCAAGTCCTGCCCATCTGTCCTCCAGAGAACTCTGGGGTGTGTGTCCTCTGAGTCCCCAGACGCCTGGGTGCATTAGAATGATCTCTCTGTGTGCCCCTCCCATTAGCCTATCAGTCCCTCAGGGTGGAGACTGTTAGTTATGTACATTTCTTGGGATAGCTTCACTGCATAAACATCGAATAAAGCCCTCTTTCTGTTTGTATCAGAATTGTGGTCAGGGGAGACAATCTCACCCTCTAGTGACAATCTGATTTCCATGTAAAGATGGAAGGTGGGCTACAGCCCACCTCTTTCTTTCTGTGACCTGAGGAGTTTAGTACAATAAACTTGGAGCATGAAGCTACCGGTTTTCCTTTTCTACTCCCATGTTTAAATTCCAGTTGAAAACTAGACTGTGGATTGAGGCAGAAATAGACGAAAATTTTAGGTTTATTGGTAAGACTGATTTAAGGATGCAGCTTAGATGTGAGTCCAATTTGGACTTTCAAATGTGTTCTCCAGGAATTAAATGATGCACCTGCTGACCCCGCCAAGGCAGATCCCGCCCAGTGAAAGGTCTTCCTCATTGTAGAAATGGAGAACTTGGCAGACCGAAAGAAAGAAGCTTAGGTCTAAGGGTCCCCAGTTTGTCTCCTCAGAATGGAATATTCGTCGCATACTTTCAGTCTTCCACCTGCAAGGCAGCACTGCTTCCAGGAAACGCATGGCATGGAATGGGGAGAATGGCAGGTGGCTAGCTTGAAAGACATAAGTAGGACTGATGACAGCAGGTAGATCCCATCTTCTTCTATAATCCAACCAACCGGATGAGGCGCTTCTCCTCCTTTGGGAGGAGTAAGGATGAGGAGGCAGCAACATCCTCACAGCATGGTTCTCTCTGTCTACAGGAAAATGAGGGGGCAATCAGTGTTTGTCCCAATCCATCAAGGCTCACCAGGCTGGGAGAACTTCTGCCAGACACGCAGGAAGGTGCCACAACTCCAGCTCAGGCCTGTCCATGCTCAGTCACAGGACTTTGTGCCTTCTATGGGCTCAAATCCTGGTATCAAATCATCTTAGTGATAGTTTGGGACTCATCTGACACTGCTCCTTTTCTTGCAACACATTTGAAACACCCCTTTGGGTGTGGATGTTGCTGTCACTTGTGTATGTTCCTATTGATTTCAGGATAAAACGTCATGTCCTCCACTTTGCTCTCTTCCCATCTCTTCTGTTTTGAGGCTGACTCATCTTGTCTGAAATGGGCTGGGCCCAAGTAGTTGGAAAGAGCTACAGGTTGACAGGCACCGGGATTTTCTATGCACTGGAGGGTTTGGAAGGAGAAGACTTCTTAGGTTGTGGAGGTGGGCTTAACGGTGCTCCTCCTGCATTGCTTTGGGGGTAAAGTTAGTTCTCTTTGGGCTTCATCAGTATTGAATATTAGTAGGATGGTCAAGTGGAAATGCCCTATAGACATTGAGAAGGTAGCCAGGCTGCAGTGGAACAGCTGATCTATTTCCTCAAAGTAGCCCCAAATCTACAGAGCTCACAAGCTCTCATGGGAGTGAGGGGAGGGCACTATGACGTAGGTCTGAGATGGAGCCTCCTGTACACTTAGCAGCCCCCAAGGAGAGCTGACCTTGGCTTACAGGCAGTTTTGGGTATTTCTGTTTGGAACATCAGTCCCCGGGTTGCGGGGAGACGGCAGAGCCCTGAAGAGCTGTGGGAAGGAGGCCCTGCATTTTCTGATGGGTTCCCTTATTCTCTTCTCAGGGCTTTGCATCTCAGGAGGCCAGGAGGCCCTCCACATGTCAAGCTGGCGGTGGAGTGGGATGGCTCTGTCAAGGAGCGGTGAGTTCAGGGGAGTTTGCCTCCTGCAGAGCTGAGACAGGGCCTGTCTGTGCCCACATTTCCCTGGGTGCAGGGTCCCCCAGCATGGCTGCAGGCAGGGCGCTCACATCCTTGAGCCAGTGGACTCTGTTCCTCTGAGATACCTGAGTGAGAATTTTCTGTATGTAAATAACAGTGGTGGGGATGGAGTGGCGGTGGCAGTGGTGGGTCATGTCAGGAGTCATAACCGCAGTCACAGCAGAGTTACCCGCCCACTCACTCTGTGCCAGTCACTGCTCTGAACACTTCATGTGTATATATGAGATTTATTTAATCTTCATCACACCCTATGTGTGGGTGGTCTGAGGTGGGTACTCCTGTAATCCATATTTCTCAGAGGTGGAAACTGAGGCACAGAGAGGTTAAGCCATTGCTTGAGAGCACACAGCCCATTTGTTGGCAGAGCTGGGATTTGAACGTAGACCCTCTGGCTAGAGTCCGTGCTCCTCATCACCTTGGCAGTCTCTGTAACGCAGAGGGCATCAGCCTTACTTTAGGAAAGGACACTGTTCACTCCGGCAAGTATTTATTGATCAACTACTAGGTACAGGCCCCTGTGCTAGGATGAGGAAAACAAAGATGAATAAGCCAAGGACCTAGTCCCTGTAGGAGCTGGCGGGGGAGAGAGAATTCCAGTAAAATATAGTGCTCACTCAGAAGGATGCCTGCAGCTCCCCAGGAACCCATAGGCAGGGCACGGTAGCATCACCTGGCCAATACCTTCTGGCGGGTTTGCTGTGAGTAGAGACATAGACGGAACCCGCCTTGGAGCGGGAAAGTCCTGAACGCTGTGGGTGTCCTCTCCGTGCAGCCTGTTCGGGAACCTCCAGGAGGAGCGGGCGCAGGATGCCGACAGCGTGTGGCAGCAGCAGCAGGCACACCGGCAGCACAGCTGTACCTTGGATGAATGTTTTCAGTTCTACACCAAGGAGGAGCAGGTCCCGTCCTGGGGGTCCACGCCCCGGCCGGGAAGGGGGCTGGCTGCCTTTGGTGGGTTGGCCATGTGCCACGGGGGTCTCACAGTCTGGGTGGCTTCCTTTCCAGCTGGCCCAGGACGATGCCTGGAAGTGTCCCCACTGCCAAGTCCTGCAGCAGGGGATGGTGAAGCTGAGTTTGTGGACGCTGCCTGACATCCTCATCATCCACCTGAAAAGGTTCTGCCAGGTCGGCGAGAGAAGAAACAAGCTCTCCACGCTGGTGAAGTTTCCGCTCTCTGGACTCAACATGGCTCCCCACGTGGCCCAGAGAAGCACCAGCCCCGAGGCAGGGCTGGGCCCCTGGCCTTCCTGGAAGCAGCCGGGCTGCCTGCCCACCAGTTACCCACTGGACTTCCTGTACGACCTGTATGCCGTCTGCAACCACCACGGCAACCTGCAAGGTGGGCATTACACAGGTGAGCCTTGCCTTGCCTCTCTGCACATGCAGCTGTGGCCACAGCCTCGAGATGTCCCCAGAATAGGTGCTGCTGGGATGCTGAGCTCCCTGGGGCACTTAATGAGACCTGCCCCCCACCTACCACATACCAGGGCATGTGCAGGAGCAGAGGGGATCTTGCCCCAGCGATAGAGTTGAGGTTGAGGGCACACAGCTCGTGCATTGGCAGAACTGGGATTTGAACTCAGACCCTCTGGCTGGAGTCCATGCTCCTCATCACCATACTTGGCTACCTCTGTAATACTGAGGGCATCAGCCTTACTTTAAGAAAGGACATTGTTCAGTGTGGCCAGTATTTATTGATCGGCTACGAGGTGCCAGCCCTGTGTGGGGCTGGATGTTGGAATATACAAAATTAGGCCTGATGCAGTAGCTCATGCCTATAATCTCAGCACTTTGGGAGGCTGAGGTAGAAGAATAACTTGCAGTCAGGAGTTCGAGACCAGCCTAGGCAAAAAAATGAGACCCCATCTTTACAAAAAATGAAAGAATGAGCTAGACATTGTGGCTTATACCTGTGGTTTTAGCTACTCAGGAAGCTGAGATGGCAGGATCTCTTGAGCCCAGGAGGCTGAGGCTGTGGTGAACCATGATTGAACCACTGTTCTCAAGCCTGGACAACAGAGTGAGACCCTGTCCCCAAAACAAATAAACCAACAAACAGAGGTTAGTTACTGCCCAAATTTTCAACCATATTAAATATGGGAGGGTCATTACTGGAACTGGGAGAATGACATTCTTTCTCATCTGCGATTCAATTTGAGGAATCTTACTTATCAGATTTGGCACCCTTTTATTCTATGGGGTACTTTTCATGTTTATTCCTCTGGGGAACTTCAGAGCAGCAGATGAAGGGAAGGGCAGAAACAAACGGCCAGACGATTCTCTCAATTGCTCATAATCATCCCTTTGGGTGCATTCAGAGAGTGTTGTGACTGATCATTTTTCTCAATGATGTCATCATTTGCTTCTCTCTCACCAGGACATCTCAGTGACAGCGGGAGACCTATTGGTAGCTGCAGCAATTGAGTGTTTCCACCATGCAGATAGTGTGGGGGCCCTTCTGGGTGAGCCTTAGGAGTCTAAGGGGTTTAGGGCATCATGTCTGCCATCAGAGGATGGAGGGAACAGACCTCCCTGGAGAAAGATAAATGAGGATGCAGTAACAGGCTAGGGACCACCTGAGTGGAGAGAGATGCTTTGGATGGTGGAGTTATGCTGGGCCAGCCTGGGCTGGTCACAGCGAGGGTTATGGGGGCCATCAAAGCCGCCCACGGTGGTGGCCTCATGCTGCTGTGTGGTGCCAGCCTATTTTTCCACAGCTGCCCTGCTCCAGATGAGGGCTTGCCCCTTTTGTAACTATTGGGACCATTTTGTCTAGCCACTTCCCCTGTCTCACTTCTCTGGGCCAAAAATAGCTCAGCAGGAATCCCTTGACACCCGTATATATCTTGGGAGGCATCTGTGTTACTCAGATTTTTTATTTTTTATGGCTGAATGAGTCCCTGTATACACATGAATGGTGAAAATAAGGACAGCTGGAACCTGGGTCTTGTCATTTCCTGGGCTGAACGTGCTGCCTCCCCATCTATAAACTCACAGGGTGGCCCCAACATAAATTAAGGGCAGTGATGTAAAATCCCAGCGGGGAGTCAGAAGTAGTGCAGGAGTGAGAAGTGTTGGTGTTTGCATGCAGTGTGAACCCTGCCTTATCAAAAGAAAGATCCAGACCCCTCCTGGGGTGAGCATTAAGGAGTAGAACGCCCAATTTGGGGGTGGTGATTTGGCAGCAGAAGGGACACAGCTCCTGGGAGGTTCCCCTTCCAGAGATCTCCTGGGTCCCTGTTTGCACACACACTGTGCCACCGCCTGCCAGGAAAGATCCTGCTTAATACTAAAATCCAAGGCAGAGGAGTCCAAGGGGAAGAGAGGGCTGGCAAGGGGGAGGCAGGGCACTGTCTACAGCCAGCACATCCCTGGGTAAAACCTGGTCCATTTGCTCTCATTTGTATCAACATACACCATCTTTCCCTCCCTCAAGACAGTCTGCACTGCCCGTTCAATGACACAGCCAGGGCTTCAAACCTGGGCACTCTGGCTACTGGGCCAGTAGCTTCTGCCCTGCCAAGATGAGTGACTCGTGATATGAACAAGTCCCCAAGCCATGTAGGGTGTTGTAGATGAGGGTCAACTCCCTCATTAGGTGAAGCACACCCTCAGTGGCTTCCTAGGAAAGGGTGATGGGAGCTTGACCTGTGGAGTGCTTACATGTCAGAAAGTGTCTTTATTCCCACACCTGATTGACAGCCTGGTGGGACACAAAGTTCTTGATTGAAAATTGACAATGTTGGTGGGGTGCAGTGGCTCATGCCTATAATCCCAGCACTTTGGGAGACTAAGACAGGCAGATCATGAGGTAAGGAGATCGAGACCATCGTGACCAACATGGTGAAACCCCATCTCTACTAAAAATAGAAATACAAAAATTAGCTGGGTGTGGTGGCGTGTGCCTGTAGTCCCAGCTACTGAGGAGGCTCTGGCAGGAGAATATCTTGAACCTGGGAGGTAGAGGTTACCTGAGCATCAGAACAAAACTCTGTCTCAAAAAATTAAAGAAATAAAATCAACAATGTTATTCCATGTAGAATGGGTCTGGAGTGGGGTTTTGCTGTTGAGAATGGGTCGGGCCAGTTTATTTCTATTCCTTTGTCTAGATATATTTTTCTCTCTGGAAGCTTTCAGGTTCTTTATCACAGGTGCTCTGGGATTTCATGGAGTGTTTTTACCTGTGGGTCTTTTTCATTGCTTATGTTGAGCATTCAGGGGACCTGTGTGTCTGCAGACATGTGATCATCAGGTCTGCAAAATATCTTTATGTTTTTTTTTTTTTTTTTGAGACGGAGTTACCCAGGCTAGAGTGCAGTAGTGTGATCTCAGCTCACTGTAATCTCTGCTTCCCGGGTTCAAGTGATTCTCCTGCCTCAGCCTCCCAAGTAGCTGGGATTACAGGCGCCTGCTACCACACCAGGCTAATTTTTGTATTTTCAGTAGAGACAGGGTTTCACCATGTTGGCCAGGCTGGTCTCAAATTCCTGACCTCAAGTGATCCTCCCACCTCAGCCTCCCAAAGTTCTGGGATTACAGGTGTGAACCACCGTGCCCAGCCTCTTCGTGTTCATTTTTCAATTAAGTTTTTGGATGGAAGTGGGGGTCAAACCATTTTATTAAGGGGAATGGGGTGGCAAAGCAGCAGTGATAGCGGTGAGACCTGACATCCCCAGCGGGCGGGGAACCCCCAGGGTCTGCAGATGCAGAAGGCTAAATTTAATTTTTGGATAGATCATACATTCCTGTGATGTTTAAAAAAGTACACACTGAACAGCCTTGCCCCTACCCACTTTTCCTGTCCATTCACTCCAATCCCCTTATTAGCTTTCTGTGGATCCCTCCACAGCCTCTGTGTGCAGACACAGGCAGACACACATAGAGATATTCCCAAACTTCACCCCCTCTGCTCCCTTTCAAACACCAAGGTAAATACTATGTTCATAGTCCTACACCTGGCTTTTGGCACTTGCTAATCTATCTGAGAGTCTTTCTATATTGGAACATAGAAATCTACAGCATTCTTTCTTTTTTTCTTCCGTTTGCTTGGTGTTTCATGGTATGTGTGATCCACTGTTTCTTTCACCCATCCCCTATTCATGGACATTTAGGTTATTTCCAAATTTTTATTATAATTCTCCTGTGAACAAGTTTGTGCATCGTGTTATTTTGTGTATGTGAACTTTTGCCCTCCGTGGTAGGAGGAATAATGCTCTCCCACATATGTCATGATCCTAATCCTAAGAACTTGTGATGATGTGAGGTTACGTGGCCAGGGAGAGTCAAGGTGGCTAAGGTCTACTGACCTTAAGATACAGAGATGGCCCTGGATGGCCCAGGAGGTCCAAATAGAATCACAGAGCCCTTTAAGTGTGGAAGAGGGAGGTAGAATAGTCAGAGAGTGATGCCAAGTGAGAAGGACTCAACCTCAACTCCTCACTGTTGGCTTTGAAGATGGAAGGAGCCAGGACTGTGGGTGGCTTCAAGAGGTAGGAGAGGGCAAGAAAACAGATTTTCCCTGAAAGCTTCCAGGAGGAATGGAGTCCTCCTGACACTTACGTCCATGGCTATGTTGGTACCAGGCAGTCATCATGCAATGAGGGAATGAGGACACCTGACTTCCAGGAATTTTTATGACTAGAACTAACATGTGTAAGATGCTTCTCATACTGTAGGCCCCAACAATTGGTAGCTTTCAAGCTACTGCCTACTTTTACCTAATTGTTATCATACCATAGATGTATTTTATGTTTTTAGTAGATTTTTTTTTTTGCCATTTTGCATATCAAAATAAACTAAAAAGCTGTTAAATGAAATAAAATCTTAGGATGAGGCACTTGACTAAATGGCTAAAGGAGATACTGTGTTCCATCATGACCTGTGTGCCTATCCATTTACGTACGTGCATATGTATGTTTATGTGTACATACGTGGATTCCGGCTAAACAGAATTTCATGAGACGATAATTACATTTACTATATGTGATATACCTTCGTCCATTATGTTCCAGAATAAGATATTATTGAATTTTAAAAATTTTATTATTTATTTATTTATTTTTTAAGTGTAGTGATTACCAGCCCCCGGATGGGCCGTTGGCTGGCAATTTGGAAGGCATCAAACTATATAGAAATCCAGGATCCCTGGTCATTAATTTATTGCACAAATATCTGTGAAGCACCCATTCTATGCCAGACCCTGCACGAGGTGCTGGAGCTTCAATGATGAACAAGACATACGAGGCCTGCCCTTATGGGACTTCAGTCTCACTTTGGAGACAGACAATGAAAAGGTGCTTGCCATTTTAGCACTTTTCACTACCTGACATTCTGAAGGTAGTGAATGATTGACTGATTGATTGATTGTGTCTGTGGTAGACATAAGGCCTTTCTGAGAATGTCACATGCAAGCTTAGAGCTGAGGATGAGATAGATAGAACTAGCTATGTGACTAATGGGAGGAATTGCATTATGAGCAGAGCTCCTAGCATGTGCAAAGGCCCTGGGGCAGAAAGCATTT